GTCACATTTCCCGAACATTTTTTTTGCGAAAATGCAAAATGCGAAAATCTCGCGGAAATGCCAAAATATTTTCGCGCAATGCATAAATTTTGTGAAAACCATGAGTTCTATAGCTGCAACAATTACTTGCTCAAAAGAACTTGTGGAATTCTCTGCTCTGATAGCTCAATATTTGAAGTTGTATCATATCATAATCATAATCATGTTTAACAACAACAAGTAACAAGTGTAAAAAGTAAAATTTCATAACATATCTTGGGAGTATTTTTAGTTATTAATCAGGGTGAGTTTAAAATATTCCGAACTATATTGGTTCTTCCCGTGGTGATTTTATTTTGTTTCTTAAATCTATATTTATATTTTGCGTTAATCCATCAATTGGGCTTGCGGATAAATCCCGATTTGAAAATAAGTCTTGTATTCTCAAAATTTAGTCTTTTTGATGAATTTGCGCAACTTTTTCGCTAAAATTTTGTATTTGATTAAAAAATTCTGTATTTTTCGCGAAATTTGCGTTTTTGTTGCATAGTTTCCATTTTTGCGAAATTTTCGCATTTTTTTCTCGAACTTTTCGCATTATATTTTTCGCGAAATTTTAGCAATTATTTTTTTCACGAAATTTTCGCAATTATTTTTCCGCGATTAATAAATAATTAAATATGTTTTAAACTATAACTATATATTATATATAAAGTTGTAAGCGGGAATATTCTTATTTTTTTTGAGATTCTAAATTGAGTGGGTCGACCTTAATAGCGAAATTTAAGTGCGGTAGTTACTTTTAGTAACCTGGGGCTGGGCAGCGCCGGGTTCCCAAGCTAGATTATTATATTCCGGAAAACTGTAAAATAAACATGATTTGATATTTAAACACCAACACTGTTTTTGACAGAACAATCTTGGTTTCCAAACCAGAATAAAATTTAAACATTTACTCTTTAAATGGCATCAGTTACCATTTAAAAAAGATTTTTTTTGATGATATGATAATTTTAGATTTTACTGGGCTGTTGTTACTGAAAAATCGTTTAAATAGTGTCTATGCAAAGGTATCATACAATTGAATTGGAATTCTAAGCGATAAATCGGCTTTTTCTCTGGTCATAGTGATGTTACGCGACGAAATCGTCACGTCCAAGATTATAAAACCCCTTAGGATTCTGCTGTCAGGATGAGTTGCACCTAGGGAGAGTCTGTGGATTCATAGATATTTTAGTACGTTCTTTACGAAGAAACCTGTTACTGGGTATATTTTTGTTTGACCATGCGCCACAGTTAGGGTTTCCAGCGAAAAGGAAAAATCGGTTCGCGAAAATTTTGCGAAAAAATGCGAATATTTCGCGAAAAAAATAATGCGAAAATTAATGGGAAGATGATGCGAAAAAATGGAAAATATGCAAAAAAAAAACACGAAAATTCAGCGAAAAATACAGAAATTAAGAAACAAATTTAAAGTTTTAGCGTAAAAGTTGCGAAAATTCATCAAAAAAGACTAAATTTTGAGAATATAAAGATATATTTACACTGAAGGCAGTATTGATTAAAGCTTTTTTATGGAAACTTCTTAGTTTTAAGGTCAAAAGTAAGAAAACGCTATAAATTCTGTTAGCTCCAGCTTGAAGATGTTGTGAAATATCATGAATTTTAAACTAAACTTTTATTTATTGAGATAAATATGAGTGTTGAAGAAAAGGGAATGAAGATATTATGAAGCAAATATTCATACCACTCTAGGGAATACCAGGAATAAATAGATAAATAAATAAATAGATAGCTAAAATGTAAAAACATTATATGTTTCAACTTTTCAACACACAGGGAAAAAGAGGAATTCCCTGGGAGGACAGACCATAAAAATAATTCCTTTTCTGAAATGATTACCAACTTTTTTATATCTATTTTTACTTCTATTTCTTATTTCTACTTGTGGTTTCTCCATAACAGTGAATTGCCGATTTTATGCAGCAGATACAAAGAATGTAAATAACAGACTCCAACAGTATCTAAGATATAGGAAAACTACAATTGTCGCTCAGTGTTGTTTATGGTTTAAAGGGTATAGACGTAAATTGGACAGATCATACTAGAAAAACGCTACCTCATAAAACGCTACACTCATAAAACGCTACACTCATAAAACGCTACACTCATTAAACGCTACACTCATAAAACGCTATACTCATAAAACTCTACACTCATAAAACGTCACACTCATAAAACGCTACACTCATAAAACGCTACATTCATAAAACGCTACACTCATAAAACGCTACACTCATAAAACGCTACACTCATAAAGCGCTACACTCGTAAAACGCTACTCATAAAACGCTACACTCATATAACGCTACAGTCATAAAGCGCTATGCTAAAAAAACGCTACACTCATAAAACGCTACACTCATAAAACGCTACACTCATAAAACGCTACACTCATAAAGCGCTACACTCATAAAACGCTACACTCATAAAACGCTACACTCATAAAACGCTACATTCATAAAACGCTACACTCATAAAACGCTACACTCATAAAACGGTACTCTCATGAAACACTACACGTAAAAATTCAAAAGACACACTTTGATCATGGATCAGAATGGGAAAGATTTAATTCAAAGGAAACGAATAAAAACATTCTTGATCAGAATTAGAATAAATCTTTATCGTTGTGAATGGACTTGTAACTCATCTACATTGTGGGTTACTAGAAATTACATCTACAGTCCCTTAAAATATCGTTGTTTTATCACTTAAAACATTTCTATTCCCTGTACAAAGCATTTGGATTTGTAATATATGTTTTTGTATCAACACAATTCCAGTTTAGAATTTATTACCAGTCCTATTACGTCTTACATTGCAAATAAATCTTTGTGTTTAACAAGTTTTCAGGGGTATTTGGAGTTTTTATTTTTTTGTCCTTAAACCACGACTTTATTGCTCATCAGATATTTTCCGGAAATAATGTTTTCAAAAGTAATAGATTTTTAGTAAATTCTATCCGGTTTTTTTTTTGAATGAAAATGTTTTTACCTCGTCATGGTGAGACGTTTTTAGAAAGACCCAGTCTTATGATAGAGTAGCTTTTTTCTTTACAAACGTTTTATCTGGTGATGTTGTATAAGTGTTGCGTTTTATGAGTGTAGCGTTTTATCTGGTGGCGTTATATGAGTGCAGCGTTTTATGAGTGTAGCGTTTTATCTGGTGACGTTATATGAGTGCAGCGTTTTATGAGTGTAGCGTTTTATCTGGTGGCGTTTTATGAGTGTAGCGTTTTATGCGGCAGAGACCATGAAGGAAATTCATAAATTTAACAGTTTTCAAGATAGAATATCGACATTATTCCCTCATCATTAACTGATTAGAGGTTTACAATTCCTGGGTTCCGTTGTGAATCGGATATGTTTCTCTTTTATCTGGAGCTGGTCACTTGAAATTACGTAAACTAGTCCCATGTTTGAACGATTGGTTGGATTTTAAGAAAAAAAAAACAATCGCGAATGAAGCAGATGCCCATTTTTCACAGGATATAGAATTTAGAACGATTTAGTTTTTTATACATCTTCATATAGCATATATTTAATGTCTTTTACCTAATGGAGTTAATTTTTTTGTCGTCTCAAATAGTAAAATGTTAAACTAGAGGCCGAATTTAAAGAATTTGAGCTCGACTTAAAATTGTAATCAATTTTTCAAGATTTAGCCGGCGCTCAATTCAAACCGGTTTTTTTGCGGATTTAAGGTGCGGCTTAAATTCATTGAATTCGGACAAGGGTACATAGAGTATCCATAAAACAAGTGTAGTATGCACACTGCACAGTCAATACAAATCCAAACATTCCATGGTACATCAAATATTCATGTCACCGTGAGCCAAAGGTTGAAAGCTCTCACTCAAAAATCAATTTTGACAATCAGACAAATTTGACAATTAGACAAATTTGACAATTACTTCGATCATGCAAATTCAACTTTAAAGCATACAAACAGACATAAAGACTGTAGTTAGCTAAGTAACATCAAAAGCCAAGGCCTTGCGACTAGGCTTTCCAAAATTGCACTTACTAAATGCAGAAAATCACGGAGAAACAATTTATTTTATCAATTTTCATGAATACGATTCTTTTCCTGAGATTATTTGCTATAGTTTCCCTTATCTTTTAAATAACATGAAAATGTGCGAAATTTTTTTGGGCCCCCCCCCCCCCGGCCCTCGCATCACCAGAAACTCCATGAGAAATCCGACAATCTTCTTGATGCGAAATGGAAAAAAATCGATATTATCGAATGAAAATTTAACGAAATTTTGCGGAAATAGACAACATTTTTGCATAAATAAGTTCTAAAATTTCGCCAAAGTACATTGAAATTCGAGAAAATTTTGAACGAAATTCGTTCAGTTTCGTTCATTCATCTTTGTGAATTTAATTCAACGAAAATTTCGTTGGAAACCCCTTTTGCGACACTTCATAGTCGACCCAGACTTAAAAGCTGAAACTTAAAAACTTGAAACCGAAATAATAGCAATTTCTGACCTATTTTGTTCAGTTTCTATTTAAGAGATTTTTTCTTGCAAACTTAAAATGTTTTAAATAAATTGATAGTTTAAAGGAATTTTTTGAATTAATGGTAATTTCAGTAATTTTATCTCGCTTTGAACTCAATAAACTAAAGCTAAAATTAGTTCCATATCTGATATCGCTGTTCGGTTCGAGGAACTACAAACAAATTGCATATTTATATTTAGACGAATTTTAATGGCGATTTCTCTGTTAAAAACTATGGGAAAAGTATTATTCAATTTAACAGTAGTCTTTTAATGTTTAATTTGGACTAAAGGCCCTGAAAAGAGAAAGAAGGCCAAAGATAAATCCATTTGTTTACATCAAAATGTGAACTTTTAATTTCCAAAACGTGCAAACAATGCTCTGGTTAGAAACTTTAACAATCCTAAAAAAGAAATATTCAGGGTTAAAAATGATTCAACAATACATGAATATCAAATTTATTAAAAATGCAGTGCTCAATTAAACATTTACAACCATGAATACAAATTATAGGCATAATGATTAATCCAATCAATAATAAATTTTCTTGGTGACAATTTTATAAACTGAAACTTTTTTAAGTTGTTTTCCAAAATATAAATATTAACTTTAAAAAGCGGTCATTTAAAGGAGTTGTTACGTAAATTTTAAATATTTTACAGAAGTTTAAAATCTATCTCCACTGATCTACGCGTGCATACCCGCCACTCATTATATCAGACCTAAAATGAAAATAAAAATAACAAAATGTATTAGTGCGAATTGTTTGTCAAGAGAAGACGACATTAGAAGCACCCTTTACCTGTCTGATATGCTTGCTGGTCTCATAGTAACTACAAACTTGAGAAAATCCGGCATTTCAATTGAACCTCGAGGAGATTTAGCGTATTCTAGTTTGTAGTTGCCTCTGAAAAATAAAAATAATCAATAAATTGAATTTTTAAAAAAAAGCAATTGTTTTAATTTTAGATGATTGCAATAAACAGTATAAATCAGAAAACTGTAGAAAACCCAAGTTATGATTTCAACTAGTCCTATGAACATGAGGCGTAGCAATTAAATGTGTGCACTGTGCACTGTGCAGAGGCCATTTCACTCTGAAAAGTGATTTTAAAACTTCTAGTAAAAATATTTACTTTGTGGCAACATCAAGTACACTTAGATATTGGTTCAATGTTGTCTTCTTTTTCTATAGGGTTTTGGATTTTCATTGTATAATGTCAGAAGAATTCAAGAAATTATTTAAATTATTTTACAGGTTTTTCCGAAAAAGGATCGAGAATTCTGACTTGAATTTTATTTATTGTTTTCACTATTCACTGCAACTGTCTGTAAACTTTTTTGTTCTTTGCCAAATCATGAAATAGGCACAAGAATATAGAATAGAAGAATATAGGCACAATTGAATCTTGGAAATAAAAGTTAATCCAGAACTCACTCTTATTTTTTTTAAACCTATCTATGAATGAAAAAACTTATCAGTTATTTGAAGAAACTATGAACAATTTGTTTGTTATAACAAACTACGAAAGAAATTCGATATTTCTGTATTGTAAATTTTGAACAAAACAATACTTTGAAATGTTTCGTAAGTTTGATATTTTAACTGTTAGGGGTTCTTTGGAAACAGTTTATGGAAAAAAAGATATTTTTTTACCTGTTCTGCATTTGGTTTGGATATGATGGAATATTATTGCTTGTTACTAAAAACTGCGGTTTGTACCAAGGAGTTTGATATCCAAATCTGGAAGACGACATTTAAAAACATTTAGAAAAATATTATTATTTGCTGGCAGGCAGCAACTTTTTAAGAAGCCATTAAAACTTGTCATTTAGATAGTTGTGTGAGGGTTAGCTCCGTTAAACTGAATTGCTGGAATAAATGTTAGAATTAATGAGACACCCTGCAAATTGGAAATTAATGAAACACCCCCATGCAATTTGCAAAATGTTGAGGGAAAATTGCATTGACGAATCATACTCTAAATGATAAAGTGGACATCACAAATAAATCTTTAAAATATGAATTTAAAAACGGACCTGTCCTGGAAATTAAATCCATTGAAAGAATATCCAGCAGGGTTAATTGAAGGTTTAGAGCTTCTCCCAGGTTTAGAATCTAGGGTTGGAACCAGTTTTCCAATCTCAGAGTTAAAAACTTCTCCAGTAGGAAACGGAAACTGATTGGAAGGTTTTCCATCGGAGTTGGCAGGGATAACTGTCTGTTTAACATAAATTGGTGATTTGGGAAGAATTCTTCGCTTAAACGCAGATCGGTCAGTTTTTAGATCATCCGGCGTTTTGGGATTGATTTCAGGAGTTTGTTTATGATTTTTTAAGAAACTGATGAGAGGGGAGAGGTCTCCAGATTTTGTTCTGGATACTTTGAACTGGTTATTTGTGGCAAAATTCAAGGTTCCATCAGATCTTGATGATTGTTTTCGTCCATCTTCACTTGGTATAATCTCCTGGTCTGAACTAGTATTTAGAAGATCTACAAAATCTGTATTTCCTGAAGTAAAAAATTCTGCAGTTTTTCCGTTTTGGTTTACAGCAGAGTTATTAGAAATTTCAAATATTTCTGGTGGTTCTATACTAAGATTAGGTTTGAGATCATCACTAGCAATAATAGCATCAGGGACCTGGTCTTCATTGATGTCTACAGGTATAGGTACAATAATAAGAGCATCTTTGGTCACAGTGTAATTGATCTTGCTTAACTCAGATTCATCTTCTTGTTCTTCTGATTTAGAGTTTTTTCCTCCCTCTACACTTCTAGCTGAAGCTTTCAGATTGGCTTTCCCGATCAAGAAAGCATCTTCTTCTTCCACCTCTGCAATGTATTCATCTGTCTCCTCAGTTAAATCATCTTGCATCTGGCTTCTTATTTTCTCTATTGAGATCTGTAAAGGCTCAACTACAATTGCTTCTACTAATTTCAACTCTTCAACGTCATCTTCTTTTTCAGCTTCAGTATCATCATTATCGGCATCATTATCCCAATCCTCTTTAGCAGGGGGAGTGAATGTATCTGGGACTTGAAGGATATCATCAGCTTCATCATCAAAATTAGAAATCAAGTCAAATTCAGTATTTTCCTCCTCTGGTTTCAAGTAAATGATTGAATGATTGCTCTCATCATCTTCAATAATCTTAGCAAACGGCAGGTTTTCATCAACGTTGTCTAATGTTTCATCAAGATAAAATTCAGGTGGTGGAATAATATTTATCCTTTCTTTCTCAACCTCTAGGATTTGTGGGGTAGGCCGAGCTAAAGGGAACCTTGTCCTGAGCTTGTCAGGTTCTAATCCTGCTGTCTCATCATTTTCAGCTTCAATATCTTCTTTTTCATCATCCTCAGTCTCCTTAATATCATCTAAAGGTGCAATGGTCTCTTCTGTATCATCTGTAGGTTCAGTTATTACTTTTTTAACATCTGAAGGTTCAATAATTCCTGCTTCATCATCTACTGGATTGATTCTTCCTGTCTCTGTAAGTTTAATACCATCCGTCACACCAACTACAGGGTCAATGATCTCTTCAGCACCATCTACCGGTTCAATTTTTTCTATCTCATCATCTAGAGGTTTAAATATAGGTTTAATTTGTAATTTTTCGCTATCTGAAGGTTCAATACTTTCTGATGTTTCTCCATCTACATTCTCTGTTCTTCCTTGCTGCCCCTGTTTATCACTATGCCTCTTATCATTGTATGTTTCTGTGTTATATTCTTCTGCAAATGTGTCTGGATGATAATTTACACCTGGAACCAAAGAGAATAGAGATAGTTTAATGTCTAGATAAAAGAAAAAAAATAATGACATACAAGAGTGAAACAAATTAAAAAACACCACTAACTGTTATTGAAGTTTTCACTGTACTTAAAGACCACGAGACAATAATTGCATTTTTAACTGCCTTAACAGTGCTACCTCTATTATCTTTGCCTAGGACCCTGTTAGGGTTTGGAGGGGTGGGAACAATGATTACATGTTTTCCAAGTGGGCTCAGGTCAAATAATGAGGTGGTTTCTTCAACATTATCAACTACTTGATCTTCATCGGTAGCTGGGGTAGTGGCAGGTGGGGCAGATATTTCTAATTAAAGAAAACATTTATTTAAATAGATGTTCAGTAATTTTCATAAGATGAATCTTGATTTGAGTCTGTTTCAGAAAAATGGGTGTTCTTTAAAAAATCCATAAAAAACATTATCTACTTTTGGGATGATGATAGCTTTTTCATACCAATTTGACCTTCAAAACTTCATAAGGCTCAATGAAAAATATTCTATGTGAATAAAATAAATTCTACGTCACAAAAGTATGTTTATTAAAAAAGCATAAACAAGAACAACTTTTACATAGCATTTTTATCTTTAGTCACCAATTGAAAATATGTTCAGCATTCTTGAGTCAACCCCTTTCCAATACAATTTTATTAAATTTTCCCCCTGACCCCAGAAGTGTGTATACCCATCCCCTCTATATACCCGCTTTCTAAATATCATCCTCTCCCATTATCTACCTGTCTCTGAAAAGGTGGTCTGCGACTCTATTGACATCAGGTCAAAGAGTGACAAGGAAGTAGATGAAGTGTCAGCAGTAGAAGGAGTGGCAGATGTGGATGAGGTTGGGTTAAATTCATCCTCCGAAAAATTTGAACTTAAACAAATAATTTTAGACCTTATGGATGTCTCCAAGAGATTTTAGTAAAATTTTAGATTCAGTTTGTATGCGAATTTGCAAATATATGTTTTCTTTAAACAGGGCTTTTCTCTCTATTGCCATAAAGGCCTTAAAAAACAGCTATAAATATTGCTTTTTTTTGGGGTTCTATACATTTAAATCATATATTTGATCTTTACCTCAACAAATCAACATCTTTTCCAGGTTCAGAATTATCTACAGGTTTAATAGCATCTTCAGCTTTACTATCATCTCCAGTTGTGCTACTTTCAGCAGGTTCAATATCATCCCCAGATTCAGTAGGATCTCCGATTTCATCACTATCAACTGACTCAGTTTTATCTACAGTTTCAGTATCACCGTGAGGTGTGCTTTCTTCAACACTTGTTGTTACTGATTCTGGTTCTGAGACTGTCTCTTCTGAGAGATCAATGGTATCTTCAATGTCTTGTAAAGGTGAAATTGATGCTGTTGCTGTTTCAGGATCTGTGGAAACAGCTTCTTCTGTCACAGATATAAAAGGTTCAGGAGTTGATGGTTGTTCAGATATTACTTCAGTTGTAGTTGTAGTTGTAGCAGTAGTTGTAGTTGTGGTTGTGGTTGTGGTTGTAGTTGCAGTTGTAGTTGTAGTTGTAGTTGTAGTTGTAGTTGTAGTTGTTCTTCTAGTGGTTGTTCTTTTTGTTACACTGGGTAGAATTAGATAAGGTTTATATGTTGACTGCTCTTGAGTTCCTCCCTGAGACCATGGATAACTCTCTAAACCTGGGGCTTGTTGGAAGGTTCCCGGTCCAAAGTTTGGGAAATTTGCTAAATAGGAAGATTGGAATACTCCATGTGGAGGTCCTGATGCCCCAGAGTATACTCCTGTGTTTCCGAAACTACCCTGATATCCTGAACCCTGGTTGAAATCAGCATTAATGAAGGAATTGAATCCTGGATTCTGAAGGTAAACTCCACCAGAATTAACATGTCCGTTGAAATTACCTTGGACGAAAGAAGAAGCATGTTGTGGGGTTGCCGCAGCACTTTTACCAAGGGTTACAGAACTATCCCCACTTATTGACAACCCTCCAGCACCTTTGTAATTTAAAGGTTTTGTAATCCATGGTCCATTGGAGGTAGATATTACCTTATTTGAGTTTCCCTGTCCTAATTGAGTTCTAGATTTTGAGGAGTTTATAACGCTTTTTCCAAAGTTGTCATTGGTCTTAGTTTGAGCTGATTTCCCCTTGGTCGAGACAGGATTGGAAACAATAACATCTGGATTTTTTTTGGAATTCTTTTCCGGGGTTTTATTCGAAGTTGTTGTTATCCAAGGACCAGTTATGGGCGCGCTATCAGAAGGGGACAACAATGGAGATCTTCCAATAGGTGGAAGCTTCGAACTTGGATTAGGAGAAGGAGGGGCCTGTGAGTTTGGAGCTGAGTTTACCGGGATATATCCGTTATAGAATGGAGTAGACGTTTCAATTTCTCTTCCTAATGATACCCCTGATCCTCCTGATCCTCCGGATACTCCTGATAATCCAGAAAGTCCAGATACATACCGACCTAGCCCTCCTGATCCTGAGCTATAAGAATTTAATCTTCCTGATCCTAAACCAGAGAAAAAGGAACCAAGTTTAGCCACCAAAGAAGGAGCTTGAGTTGGGTTTGGATTGGCCACGGTTTGGTATGCTCCAACTCTTCCTCCAGGTCCCCCTTGATACACAGAACCCGAACCACTAGCATAGGTAGTAAACCCTGTCTTGGAGTCAGTAACATATCTATGAAAAAAAATCTATTTTATATTATTATTCTTAAAACAAAATGGATTATTTGTTACAAAGAGCATACATCTTTTTTCATTTGCTATTTTTGAATTTTCATGTGGAATGCTATAAAGATTGGATCAATTTTAGAACCAAGCTTCGGGCTAACAACTGCGCAACTAAAATAATTGAAAATAAAAAATGGCGAGCTGATGGCTATTTAAAAGAAATAGTATATCGATATGGGTATCTAAAGATGTATTTCAAGTTCCTAAATGCTGTCCTCAGTTTTATTATTTGATATTTAATCAAATTGCGTTGTTTTTTGCCAAAAGAAATCAGTTTTTTTGTCCATCTACTTTTTCTTAAATTAACTCTCATTTATATAAAAGTGTTTACAATGTTTTTTTCTTAGAATATTTAAGTGGTTATATCCCGCATACATCCTAAGCTCTATTGCGAAACCAGGCAAATATCGACCCTCCCTATAAAATGCAATTCATCAAAACTATATATGACACCTTTATTATTCAGTCTCTTAAAAAAGGAATTGAGTCTTTGTAACAAACTCTGATTTTCGAATTCCAATCTTTCAAACACAATGTCGCAGAATATTTTAAACTACGAATTTTGTGAGATCAAATAATCTAAATTTGAAATATCAAAGGTTTACACCGTCATGTTGCAAAGATATACGGATTATAAATTCGAGTTTGTGACAAAGGTTCAATTTCTTTGAATTATAATTAAACCTGTATGTTGGATTATAGTTGGTGTAAGTTTGTCCTCTAGAAAATTCAGCTCTTGTCTACAATTACAAAACTATTGTAGAAATAATTCGAAATATGATCTTTTATCTAAACATATAAAGTAGTAATCTCTGTTTGCTCTTTGTTGGTTTGTTTGATCATAGCCCTTGGCTAATTTGCCTTAAAAATCTGTTTTGGAAACTTGGGAGAACCACTGTATTGGTCTTAGCTTACTTAGCTTTCAGCCAAAGCTAGTTTTACAATAAAAAAAAATTGAAATTCCAAATTCATAAGATAATTTTGTGTACTTTTTTCTCAACATTCATCATTTTTTTCGGATCTAGTTGCATTTTAGATTAGTTAAAGTAAAAATATTAAATTCATGTTTACCGATTTAGCTGGATTATTCCAGGGCCCATCGTCTGATCTTTCCTCAAGGTGGTTCCCGGGCCCAAGCTGTTTCCCAGAATTTTCTAATTTAGAAATTCAGATCATATTAAAATTGGACTTTTCGACAGTATGGTTCAGAATGGGAGACCTTTTAATATTTAAAAGAATAGGGAATTAGCCAGAGGGGAAAGGGCGGAAGGAAAGAATTAGGAGAGGGAGGGGGCTGGTCACAGGGGAGGATAGGTGAAGGAATATTGACAGGGATTGTAGACAGACTTTTGGGCTGCTAGAGCAAGTTTTACAGTACACTCTTAAGAAATGTAAAAATTAATTCTAACAAATTTGTAGAAGCACTGGAGCCAACTTGTTTTTTTAATTTTATTAGATTAAATTTATTATTCATCAACATTTGACAAAATATGCTACTAAGTTGAATTTGGCTCCGGCGGTACAAACACATTTTTTTAAGATGAAAATTTGACATTTCTTAGAGTGTACGAATATTTTAAATAAAAGTATACCCGTGTTGTAACTTAATCCTGGACTTAGCCAAGAAACCAGTGAGCCGAGTTGTTTATCTTCTCTTCCTGGTTGTGGCTCGGGTTGACCCGCTCGTGGCTCGCTTTGACCGGCATGCAGCTCAAATTGACAAGACGTGGTAGAAATGAACGCTAGCAGCAGAATTCTCCTCTAAATGATCAAATTCATCATTATTTTTGATATATTGTCAATATCTTTATTATTATGGATTTCTTGTTTTTGTGCTACCTTCAAAATATTAGATTCAATAACATGCGGTTAGTGCATGTATGAAATTTTGAATCTTTATTGGATTTTGAAATTTTTTTAATCAATTTAAATAAATATGTTTTAAAATATGATATTTTCTATGTTTTTGGCTTGGGACACATATATATATATTTGATTTGATTTGATTTGAAATTTTAATATATTTTTAGCCTTGCATCTAACTAAACCCTCAAATCTGTTTCAATCTATATTTTGTGAACAGACCCTTAAACTTGGTTTGCCACTGGCAAGATTTAGGTTTAAGTTTTAATTGAAATGTCTAAATTCTAAATTCTGAATTTATATTTTTGTAAATAACAATATTCATAATATACAATACACCTTTTCTAGGGGTAAAAAGCATGGGGGGAGGGTGACGGGGTAAGGTGATGAGAGGAGGTTATTTTGCTCAAGTATGGGTAAAAAATCTTTACATTTAACTATTTTTTAAATATTTGATATTTTATATTTCTTGGTCCCATATTCTTTTTGATTTCGGATATATCTTTAATTTAATTTACGAATACGATAGTTAAAGAACGAATTGCGCCCCTCTTTCTCGGGATAGATTTAACTTTTGAATTATTTCTCGTACACAATGTTTAAGAAAAAAAAACAGTGTATAATTTCACAGATTTCATATTTTAATGGAGGAATTTAAAACATTTTTAATGATTTTGAGCCTTTTAATGCAAATTTTAACAATTTTTATCTACATCAATATGATGATAACACAAAAACAGACGTCGCAAAATAGATAAAATCTATATAATGAAGCTCTTCGCTCGTGAATATATATATATATATTAGATATTTGCTTTAGCTGACCGAACCGTTGAACTGAATTGGCTGACATTTTTTGAGTGAAACGATGGCCATGGATAGCCCGGGGGAAAAGTTGTATAATAAGGTTAGATGAATATAACACTAGACATTCTAATCTTCATATGACATCACGCTTATTTAAAAAAAAAAAATTATTTTGCGGCTCACTAAGAAAAAACTAACTCAAAAATTGAAAACTTGAATTAGAATTATTCCATTTTTTAGCTTCAAACTTGTTAGCACATTCAACATTTGTTAAATGTAATGATCGTTATTTATTTAAGTATTAGTGACGTCATATGAGGATATTTTCCTTTGCAATACATTGACCTGCATTGGATCACATCCAGAGTATCTAACCATCTAAGTTATATATATATAACCTTGCCCAGGGGTGACAAAGACTATTTTTTTAAGTTCTATAGGCAACGCTGGGCAATTTAAGCTATATTGGTAAATAAATACCAAGCCCGGGTAAACGGTAAGAGTAACTATATGAGCATGAATAATGATAAAAGCCTAGGCAACGCCGGACACTCTGGCTAGAATATTTTATTAGTTAGAAACCATGGTAAAAATGTAATATTTTATTAGTTAGAAACCATGGTAAAAACCATTGTAATATAAATCATAATGGATCAGACCAATATCTAACCAAACCTTTTATTTAAACTGGCATTTAATTGTAAAGTCAGTATTAAAGATGAAATATAAAATACTGAGAGTGTTTCTAATTGGGAAGGGAGAGGGGGGTCAAAAGGCTGCCGAGAGAAATTTTGAAGTGCCATTTTTATTAAATCACGACTTTGAAACTTCTCAAGCCGGATTCAAACAGTCCTACTGGTCCTGGCTCTGCTCAAAATACATAATGCAAAACATTGGGGAGTAATTGGTAAGCATTTCAGCCATAGCTAAGAAACATATTACCCTAAACGAACGGCCAATGCCTAATAACAAATGACCAGTAAACAATGACCAATGGCCAAGGAACAAGAAACAGTGATCATTTAGTAATGAATAATACACAATTAAATGCAAAGAAATGACCAATGACCAAAAAGGTGAAAACATATGACCATTTCAATGAGAAATAATTCAACGAACAGTAAAGTATAACCTAGAACCATGAACAATAAACAATGAATATTAAAAAATAAACAATGACAATAAAAAATGAAAAATGAACAATTAACAATGAAAAATAAACAATTTACAAAAAACAATAAACATTGAACAATGGAAAATAAACAATGAGCAATAAACAATAAACAATGAAAATTAACAATGAACAATGAACCATAAACAAATAACACTAAACAATGAACAATAAACAATGAACAATGAATTATAAGCAAGGAACATTAAATTAGAAACAATGAACACTTTTAACAATTTGAACAATGAACAATGACAAATTTTAACAATGAGCAAGGAACATTGAACAATGTTAGGTTTACTGACTATTGCACAAGTTTGCAGTTTCCTTTTAGAAGTTACAAATCTACGGGTTGTGTTGACATTGACAGTTGTAAACTTTACAATTCACAGCGATCTAAACAACTATGAAAATCTTGTACCAATTATTCAGACCGGATCAGACCGAATCGACTTTAAACTGTTACCAGGCTTTTACTCATTGTCTGATCTTAACAATCTTAAAAATGTTTTATAGCCTCGGCTATAAAGATATTAACGCTTTAAAATGCTTGAAGGAGTATGTGGAAAAATCATAATAAATGTTCGTGTGCTAATGTGCATATTTTAGTTTGCAGTGGAATTTATAGATACATAAATTTAGCTCGTGAACGTCTAAGTTTAATTACAAAGTTAAAGTTTATATATCTCTTTATATTACGTAAAACTAAGAGCAACTCGAAGTATATCCTCTGAATATATCGGAATATTTTTAGTCATGTTTTTAGCAAACGGGGAGAGAAATATTGAGACGAGATGTACAAAATAGTTCTTGTTTTCAAAACAATTAAAGTTATTTACAGAGAAAAAATGAGTCCTCGCAACAAACTCAACTTTTCTCATTCCCATATCTTTGTAAGCTGATGATGAAAACCTTTGATATTTCAAAATAAGGAGGTGAAACAGTTGAAATACTAGTAGGAAAATATTAAAATATTAAAACATTGATGAAAATAAAATGTTATCCCTTTTAAAACATTTGAATTCTTTTTCAAAAACGTAAAACATAGCGTAAGAGACCTTTTTCACTTGAATTTTTAAAATATATTGTACGAGATCGCAAATACGAAAATCTAAATTGTTATAAATTGATGGACTTTAGACCAGGACCTCTAATTTACCGTGATAGATGTAAGTATATATTTATATATAAAAAATCCGTGCTTTATACATATGTGTTAAAAAGGCATACAGAAATATGAGATATATTTACTGTATTTACAGTATATTAAAAAAAACGACGTAAAGTTAGAATGTAATATTACAAAATAATTTTTTACACATCCTACTATAAATGTCTTGCTTATATATATAATTTTATAATTTTAGAACTTATTTTGTGAAAGATATATAATATTAATTGATTTCTCATTGATTTTAACAATTTTTGTCAGTGGAGTTTTGAAAGTCGTCCAATAATTTGAAATAAATATTCGCGTCACCGAAAGAGCTGAACTATAGGTAATTCTATCAAACGTCCGTCCATCACCATCACTGAATTTTAAACGTACAGGGTTACTCATAAAGGATGAGACTGTATAAAAGAAGACCCAAAACTAAAAAAATATGACAATTTAAAGCTTTATTTTTGGTTCATGGATTCAATATAGAATTTAAGTGGTTTACTAAATGATCAAGCACAGAACAAAAACCAGTTTTAGCCTACAAGGAACCCTGAATGCAAGAAAACGGACTAAACAAATTCCGTACAATCGTCTGTAAAGTTTCATCCTTTGTGGGTAACCCTGAACATCACAGCTTACATTGCTATGGTTTAATCGGATGTATATTTGACACCTTGCCTTTTATATAAAAAACACTTTTTTAAAATGTGAAAAGTTTACCATGGTGAAATGGAGAGTATTATTTATGCCATCAATATACAAATATAAAAACTGTTCACTTCTTTATGTATTGATGGAAACTGCACATAAAACCCCCCCCCCTTCATAACCCCCTTGAATTCACCCCTCCCCTTTTGAACAATCAAAGTACCGCATCCTTATCCTTAACCCCTGCCGTGTACAGCCTTACAGGTGATTTTTGGTAAAAACACGTAAATATGTTGTAAACAACCCATCCCTCCAGGCAATCATGTCAATATACTTTCAGGGGCGTTAACTGGGGGGAGGGTGGCAATGGGGGTCTGCCCCCTGGATATAAGAGTGAGTAAAAACTCTAGTTCCCATGTGGGATGTTTAGCCACAAACGAACTAGATTTTAAGATGTTAACAGAAGTTAAATCCCCCAGACAAAATTTTTTGTCTAACTCGTCCAACAAATTATTTTCCATAAAATATAATTTATAATATCAAAATTTAATTGTTTAGATACGCACAAAAAGCGTAATTTCAAGTGAACCTCATGGAAAAGATATACGCAGTGACAAATTAACAATTTGGTAACCGGCCTTTAAATTTTTATATAATCAATACTGTAGAAGATAATACGTTTTCCAGCTTGACAAGTGTTTAGTTGTGATAATTCCTAAATTTTTTCTGCAGTAGAAATGCGCAATTCACTTTTGTAGAGAAACCATGTCATTAAAACTTATCGATTTTCAAAATTTTAAACATTAATATATAATTTATACTTGATCAGGCAAAGCTTTTAAGGGTACCACTGTGAATCGGGCATTGCCATTTTTGCATGAAAGGCCACTTGAAATTACGTTTACAGTCCCTTTAAGTTTAAGTTACTTACATTTTAATTTGAAAGTTATGGTTGATGAAATCTTTAAACTTGAATTAAATATCAATATCTATGTAAGTTTATGTATTACGTTTAATGTTTTTAACATGGTTCTATTTCATCCGTCCGAAATATACAAAAGGAAAGCAGGAAGAAATAAATAATATTTGGCTTTCTATTGCATACCATTGTAAATATACTGCGAGTGGTTACAAACTATTCCTGCTTCTACGATTAAAATATTGATACTTTTTCAATCAGGTTTGCTCTTTATTTTTTCTTGTTTTCTACTTTTGTTCTAATTTTCAATTGTTTTAGCAACTGACAATATCTAAATCTTGCATACTGATGTTTCATACTTTGACTAGTTTCAATAATAATCTGTTCCTTGATATTCGTGTTCTCAATCTTTTTTTCAGATTTCTTTACTTAAACGACTTTTATTTTGTCTTAATTTTTATCTATTTTTTGGAATATAAACAAAGTTAGCAATTGTTATTTACTTAACTTCTAATCACATTTTTAATGTTATCCTTTTTTATAAAAAATTTAGAATTCTTATTCTATTCTTTGTTTTCATCTTTTTTTTCAGAATATGTGTAAAGTTGAAAAATAATTATTTTCTTATTCTTAATCTATCTAGTTATTATCATTTAAATTGCTATTCTCATTTATAATCTTATCTTTTCTTAGAATATGTAAAAAAGTTTTGAATTCTTTTTCTTAAACTTTTATTTCATTTTTTAGAATATGTATGAAGTTAATAATTTTTATTTAAATACTTATCTATTTTTCAGTATTTGTAAAGCGTTAAAAAGTCTTACTTAAATAGCTATACTAGTTTTTAGTCTTATCTTTTCTTCAGATTATGTGAAAAGTAAAAAAATTCTTATATTACTTTTATTCTTCTTCCTAATCTTATATAATTTTTCAGTAAAAAGTTAGGAATTATTTCTCAAATTTCTATTCTTCGTCTTCATCTTTTATGATTTTTCAGAATATGTATAAAGTTAAGATACTAGTGGTAGGCCCAAGCCAGGTATACAGTTTATAAAGCATTAAATAAATCAAGGAACATTATAAAACATCTTCTTTTTTGTTTTATAATGTAATTTCAATTGACCCACCAACTATTTTTCTATGTCTTATTAGCAATCATGGCAAGATATTGTAATTTTTCCAATATAAAAACTATGAACATTTTCTTCCATGTTACTTTATTTGTAAGTTCAGAAGTCATTAGAAGAGCTAACTGGGAATTATCGAAATTCAGAAAGAAAAAACATAGATATCTTAAAAATGTTTTATCAGACGAAAGAGATGGTCACGTCGAATTTATCTATTTATGCAACTGTCTTGTGTTATCATGTGGGACATTGTGTTTTTTAGTTGAGATTTTTACTTTTTTCGTTTTTTTAACGTTTAAATTCAAGATTTTTAATCACGAACGTATATGAGTGGCTAAACAACTTTGATTTAATCCGAAAACAAAGAAAAAAGTCAAAATCACAACAAAAAAATAATTTCCCAAATGATAACACAAATCAGTATATAAATTTATATATATATATATATTTATATATATTTAAATTTATTCAATTAAAGTTCTTATAAAAATGTGCGATTTTTATTAAAATCCGCGAAATAAAAAAGGGAAACCTGCTTTGCCGGTATAAAATGTTACTTATTTGCCTCGAAACAAATAAGAAACTTTTATACCCAAGATCATGAAATTGTAATTAAAAATGCCGGATAAAAATTCTCTTAAAATCGAATATATGTCATGTCGACAGTCTCATTAAATCAAATTGGGAAAATATATCGCAGAAATTTGTTCCTTTATTACGCGAATAATACTGTTTAATCTAGTACTTTAAATAAATTTTCTGGGTTTAATATAATTAGTTTTTTTAATTACTTTATACGTTTAACCAATTCGCAGTGAAATTGCAAGTGGTTTCTCTCTATAGAATTTTACCATTTACTTTTGGTTCAACTTAAGCCAAGAACAAGCGCGCTGAAGTTATAAAAAATGTTGTAATATAATTTTTTAAATTACTTTCCCACCCTTCCCCGGTAAAGTGTTAAGGTTAAATGAAAATTATAAGAATTGGTTAGTGATACATTATCCATTATCCAATTACTGGCACAATTATCTAGAAACTAATTAAAAAAGTCACATCTTTCTTTCTGAAACCTTTATCCCGACACCTTTTAGTATATTCTAATTTATGTATCTAGTGTTATCTTTTACAAACATTTTTTACTGCTCGGTGATATTAAATTGCCTTTTAAAAAATGGGACTGAAGAGTATAGGTGTAATTTCAAGAACTTTCCATTTATGGGGTGGGATGTGCAATTCACAATCACAATGGTACATTTATTTTGATTAATGGTAAGGTTCAAGCGAACGAAACGCTTCGCTAAGAATTTCGTTCACATTTCGCAAACTTTTGCGGAAAATTTGGCAGTTTTTCGCGAAAAAAAATTCCGTAAAAGAGGTTTAGCTGCAACAATTAATTGCGCAAAAAACTTGTGGAATTCTCTACTCTGAGAACATTTGAAGTTTTATTACGTCATATTAATAATTTCTCTTGTTTTATGAAGAGATTTTGATTTTTCTAGCTATCTTTCTGAGTTTCTGTCCGCCCACGTACGTTCACCTAAATCTGCAGCTATCCATAAGCCTTAAGCCAACCAAGAAAGAATCTTTTAAATGAAACGTTTTTTTCACAAAATTTTCGCTTTTTTTGACGAAAATTTTCGCATTCCCTTTCCACAATTTTTTCGCGAAACAGATTGAAGCAAATTTTGCGAAAAAAGTGAAAATGTTTGCATTTTTTGTGAACAATCGAAATGCAAAAAAGTTTTCGGCGAAATTTTTTTTCGCGATAAATGGGAAATTTTTGCGAAACAATTTTGATTTTCGCTGAAACCTTGGATATTGGTGATTTTCTCTATCTATGGGTTAAATCTATATATCTTTTGCGGTTTCTCTCTAAAAGTTACAGGTGAACTTCTTGCTGCAGAATTAATAAAGGAAATTATAAGAATTAAACACTTTCTAAGCTAAAAATCGATGATGTCTTTACAAACCTTAAAAATCATTTTTCAGTCTGGAAAAACTCTGATATCCAATTTCCTTTCTGATGCCACAGAAAATATGCAAGGTAAGGTATTAATAAAAAGGGTCAAACATTTTTCTTTATTGAAAAAAAGTTTTAAAGGGTCCTTTCCAATAATAGTCTAGAATTAAAATCGTATTAATTGATTAGTATTTTACAGTTTCTCTATTTCTATATGTTATCTTTTAAACTAACATTTTCCTTTCTTTTCTCAAGTTTCTCTTCAAATGTCGAATTGTTTCTATAAAAGTTTTATATCTAATCTAAACAAAGTTAAACAATAATTATTTTTTACTTTTCGTTCATATGTTTTACAATATAGCTGAACAGGCATTCTATGAAAAGAAAGATTTACGAAACGAATGAAAGCATTCAACCCTTATTTATCACAATTTGAAACTATATTCTTATTGTATATTTGACGCAAGATCGAAATATTTCAGGTTTTCAATCATAACACCCCTTATTTAAAGAGCTACTTAGAAGAATATTTTGTTTCCTAATGTGTAATCAGATAAACTTGTTTTTCTTTCACTCGTGCATAAAATCCGACATATAGAGGAGCTACGAGATCACAACCTCGTACCAGTAATCTCACATAAATTTGACCTTCTCCTGCTGTCTAGTTCACCGTGCAAAGCTTGGATAATTAAATATTGTTTGATATTTGTAGGAAAATATCGACCAACTGTGGGGGTTCGAATCCTAGAGTTCGAGTCCTCGAATCTCGACATTAATAAGAAATCTGGTCGAGCCGAGGTCGAACTTTGGGTAAGCGTATTATTTTTTTGTTTAGTAATTGACTTAGTCTTTGAGAGACTCTACGTAATTTCTATTAACTCTCCATTTGTAAAGTGTCATGTCCGATTTAGAACGGTACCATTTAAATTTTTTCAGATTTATGCTGTCAACGCGATGAAAGAATTTGTAACAATTCACACAATTTGAGAAAGAAAAAAGATTATATTTTCCTCATTGTTATGTTGAAGTAGATATAGATTAATTGGGTACCGTTGTGAGTTAAATAAAAAGGTTTTTAAAATGACATCTAGAGTTGACTTAAATCAGAAAGCAAGGTGAAGGTAGAACTTTGGTTTTTAGTAAAGAATATTTCAGTTTATACATTTCAGTTTATATATTTCAGTTTATATATTTCAGTTTATATATTTCAGTTTATATATTTCAGTTTATATATTTCAGTTGATATATTTCAGTTTATATATTTCAGTTAATATATTTCAGTTAATATATTTCAGTTTATATATTTCAGTTTATATATTTCAGTTTATATATTTCAGTATATATATTTCAGTTTATATATTTTAGTTAATATATTTAAGTTTATATATTTCAGTTTATATATTTCAGTTTATATATTTCAGTTTATATAATAAAATAAGAAATATCAATAAAAATTAAATGAGGCTGAAATAGTCTTACTATTATACAAGAATGTTAAATTTTTCAAATCCAGAAAACAAACGTGAAAACTTAGTTAAATTTAATTATAAAATATCCTATTTATCTTTAAGTCTGAGTTTTATTTATGTTGCGAAGAAACTTCTTTTTTTCATTTCATTAAATTTGAAAAATAAGCAAGATTTTATATAAAAGTAGATTAAAAATGTTTTGTTAGCAAAAATGTTTTTCTAAATGTACGTTTGGGAACTTAGAATTAATGGTATTATTTTTTGTTAAAATTAAAATTCAAAAATAAATGTTAAAAAAATTTAAAATGGTATTATTACTTTATTTAGCATTTTTGAATTTTAATAATTTTCCTATGATCTTCAGTTTTCCCATACCTTTAACCTCCACACTTTTACCAAAAATATTATTTCAAAGTTTAACAGAAACGTTTAAAGAAAAATCAGAATATGTGACATTATGAAATATTTTCGTGGACAAATTCAAAGTTAGGCTTCGGGCATCTTTTATATGAAATATACGAATATTAAAGTACATATTATTTTTTTTAAAGAGACTGTTCCCGTAATTTCATGTGACTTCTCAATTACTGAGTTGCAATCGCAAAACTTTTGCGCAATTTTTGCAAAAGAAAGTGCAAATTTTTGCTTTCGTAGCGCTACATTTTTACTCGAAAAATTGCGACTTTGCGCAATCATTCCCAAACTTTATTTCGCGAAAAGATGCGCTATTCCGCTTTTGCGTTATTCTGTTTTTCGCAATTTTGCGGAACAAATTCTCAGTAAAAGGTTAAATTCAGGTGTATTCTGTATAAATAATAATTGTAATGCTTAAAAAAAAATGATTACTTTCCTAAACTCTATTTTGCAATTTGATGCCTGATGGCACACTGCAAATTAAGATATTCACGATTACACACAAAAGTTGAGCAGCATTTTGCCAATTACTTATTTTAAACTTAAGATGGAAACAGACGCGTAGTATTTTTAAAATGTATATGTCTAGGCCTACCAAAAAGTATCAGTGAGTAGGTGAGGTAAATCCAAAGACCAAGGTGTTGCGACACTTCAAAGTCGAGGCTGTATACAAATTTGATGGCTAAGTTTCATAGTTGTATTCATCTCAGTGGGCATAGATATTTCAATCATATATATAATATATATATATGCGTTTGATATTTCAATCACATTTCAATCATATTTCAATCATATGTGTTTATTAATTTTTGTCCCTCAATTTAAAGATTTTGTAACAAAAAGTAACAAACCAGCAAAATAATAATATATTGCTTTGTAAATATTAGAATAAACCTTCAGCTGTTTAATTCTGTGCTGAAACTGTCAATTTTGATTAATTTGCAATAACTTGTTTTGCGTTAAAATTTACTTTTGCCGGATACTTCCGGTTTTGCGCAAATTACGTAAAAAAATTGCGCTAACACGACCAAAACTTACTGCAAATCTTGTTTACAAAGTTTTCAAAAAATATTTGCGCAAAAATTACGAAAATTTTGCCCAATAAATATGGTCCTTTCGTGGATATCCTAAAATTCACAGAAAAATCATTTTTAAGAATTATTGATTTTCAGACAGAAAAAAAAGAATATATTGGTCACTTTCGCTTATACGTAGGGTAAAAAGGAACCCCTGTTATTTTATTCTACAGTCCCTTAAACTCAAGAGTCTGAGATTCTTTGTTGATAAAGTTCAAATCTTAACTTAGAAAAATTTTATCTTTTGCTTCCATACATTCATTCACGAGTTCAGAGATGAATCCAAAACTTTAGATTTTTAACTTTACAGACATTTGAATTTGGTGAATACATTCTTTAAAAATACTTTTTAATTGATACTGTTTTTGAAAAATTTGAAATATCTTAATTTTCAATGAAAGAAATGTATAAGGTAGGCTTCGTATTCTCTCTTGTTCTATACCATTTGTAGCTTTATACTAGAGATCCGTTTTTTAACGCCAAAATTATATCTTAAAGGGCCTTATGACGTTGTTTCAAGTGTACCATCTTTTCAAATGTTACATACCCTATTTCTTAATACAAGGGCCTCTTAAAAACAGTATCTAAGAAACATAGAGGACGATATCAAATCGTATATTTTCAACCGGATAGTGTTTATTTATAAGTTACAAATTTGATATGTCATAATACAAATAAATGGTCTTTGACATCAGGAAGCAAAAAATATAGAGATTAGAAAATTTGAATTTGTGGTGAGAGAGCTTAATTGCTTTTTTGATAGTTCTCTGACATTTTTGCTTTGAGAATGGTTTTATACAAATCGGGACTTAAAATGGTCACATAAAAAACTTTGACAGTCCCTTTAATGAAGGATACGAGTGGATCTGGAAACTATGAAAGTTGCTGGCCTGCGATACAGAAGGATGCGCACGGGATAGTTTTTGTTTTCAATCCGGATAATTCTGCGCATGTCAAACAGTTGGATTCATTATATCAGGTAGGTTTTTTTCCCCCCCCCCCCCCCCGATTATGTTTATAAAAGTTTAGATAGTAACTACATCCTTAACTGTTTAGATAGTGACAATATTCCCCCCGGCTCCCACTAAAAAAATTAATAATATCAACAATGGCCCATTAGTTGCTCCAACTTTCTTTCAAGTCTGTAAAGCTTACCGTCTTCTTTAGTCTGGGCCCGACCCCTTTCTCTATTTGTCTCTTTCCGTTTTAAGGGGGTTTTCCCGACTATAGATTGCCATTTCTTGCTTGTACTTTTTCATAAACAATATTTTACTGTTTGCGTGCACTTTATGCATGATAGTTTTTCCAATTAATTTGCGGTATATGAAGTTTCGATTTTTTTATATAAAACTTAATTTCATGCCGGCTACAAATTGTTTTTGAATATGTTAACATTGTGTAGGCCCTGGTTCAATCTACCTCGATGCAGGATTCTAACTGTGTGGTCTTTGCGCATTATCTTGGATCTAATAAACAAAACAGAGGAATCAAATTATCAAGTTCGTTTTCCAGGTAACTTGTTCGTTCTTTTTTTCTCAACCGTATGCGTATAATAATGAGAAACTTCGCAAAGAGTTAAATTAGCTTACAAGTCGGGGGGATGAATTTCACAAAAAAAAACTGAAAGGAAACGTCTAAAGTAATTCAACTTTTTTGAGCTTGTGAAAAATATTCATCCCAAATAAAAAAAAACAATTTTTGATATTATTAAAAAGCATATTTTTTGTAAAACATGGAGATTTTACGACGAGGTAAACAAGAATGATAAGGAATAGTTTTGTATATGCTTACACATTTTAAATTGTAAAGCAAACATTAAAATGTGTATTTAACAAATATAACATTATTGCAGTGTATTGTAATAGTGAATAATCATCATTGGAAGATTTCAAAAGTTTTTCTTATTTTCAATCGTTGTAAATTTACTTTTGAGGAATATTTCAGCTTAGTTAAATTAACCCCTATTCATGCCGGAAAGTGGGGGGGGGGATTTTACTCACACAGATGTTTTTTTACATAACATTTCTCCTTCAGGCATTTACAGCATGAAGACCTGTCTGAATATCTGATTTCTCCATGTCATAACATCTCTTAGACCCAAATATCATTGTAGGATATTAGCCTAGATGACAAAAGTATGCGGACTGTAAAATAAATGCTTTTAAAAGTCATTTTAATTATTGAATATTTTTTAATCAACTCTTATTCTTATTCTTAATCTCCCCTATCGATTAATCTCTTCAAGGGAGTGTTTGTGAAAAAGAAAAAGAGAGGGGGTATATGAAGAATCTGAATCAAATATGGATTCGATCCCTCCATCTTTTACCTGTTTAATGTAACTCCAAATCTATCAAACTAATAATCAAAAAATATTAAATATTAAGCAGTTTGATAATTTAACTTTTTCTATCCTTTCTTTCTAAAACATAAGAATGTGTTATGTTCAAAATGTTATTAAAAATAAGAATGTATTGATCAACTTTTTATGTTGAAAGGAACTGAACACTCGCAATAAACTCTGATTTCCAGTCTTTATATTGATGTAACTTGTTGGTGGAAGCTTAGACTATATTTGACCTAACAGGGAATCGATCATTACTCTTGTTTGGATTTTGTTAACACTTGATCATGATATCCGATATGAACAATTTAAATTTGAGGATAATGCTTGATCCCTCCATTAAAGTTATCCAGGCAGGGTATATACCACCACCGGGTATTCGTAGAGGATTCAAAATAATCTGGAGAATCATGCAAAAGATGCAGATCAATATCCCGAGGATTTAACGGTTCTGTCAATATTTGAGAAAGTTGTGACTTTCGATCACAATTTGACCCATTTAGCATAATTTTGTAGTCTTTTTTTAAAAATACTTTTTCGTCCGCATATGCGTTTCGAATGAAAAATTATATAATAAACAAATCCGTAAGTTTACTGATTGTTGAATTATAGACAAAAACACGTTGGATCTCAAATCAAAGACACCAAATGCTTCTCACTCTAATTAGTCCGGGGTGACTAGATCCCGAGCTTCCCACCCGAACAAGTGCTGACTTCTAACTTCATAGTTTAAACTGACGTAAGTCCATGACATCAGTTAACAAAGTTAAAATTGGAAAGTTAGAATTTGTGACGAGCGTTTAGTTCCTTCATACGTCAAAACATATTTGATAATATGAACTAATTATTATATGGATTGAAAATGACTAAATACATCCGTAATACATCGTCAACATTCTCAAGATAAGAGAGGAGGATTTACATATAATCAAGAGGAGAGCTGAAATCAGCATCAGTTGATAAATCGATTTCATCAGCAGTTATAAACAAATTATCAGCAATGTTTGGAGCGAAAACTATGTTTATCTTTATAGTTTTAATAGTTGTTTTTACTGCTGCAACTCCTGTTAATGTAGATATATTCAACTCTCAACTTAGATTCAACGAAAAAAAGGCAGACCTTACCAATGCTACCACAACTGCTGTTCCTACCAATTCTACCACAACTGCCGTTCCTACCAGTTCTTCCACAACTGCTGTTCCTACCAATACAACCACAACTTACGGTCCTACCAATACAACAACAACTGATGTTCCTACAAATACAACAACAACTGATGTTCCTACAAATACAACTACAACTGCTGTACCTACCAATTCTACAACACCTGCTGTTACTACTAATTCTACCACAACTTTTGTACCCACCAATACAACCACAGTTATTGTTCCTACGAATACAACCACAACTGTTGTGTCTACTAATACGACCACAACTATTGTTCCTACGAATACAACCACAACTGTTGAGCCTACTAATACAACCACAACTGTTGTACCTACTAATACAACCACAACTATTGTTCCTACGAATACAACCACAACTGTTGTGCCTACTAATACAACCACAACTATTGTTCCTACAAATACAACCACAACTGTTGTGCCTACTAATACAACCACAACTGTTGTACCTACTAATACAACCACAACTGTTGGGCCTTACAATACAACTACAACTGCAGAAACTACAACTACAGCCACATCTGGATCCTCTGGTGTCTACTGTTCAATAGTTTTAACCCTGACTTCATTCTGTCTCCTCCGACAAAAGTCATGAATAAAATCATCAAACTAATATATCATGTATAAATATTTATAAATAAATTTAAAATAAAAACGTTTTTAACAGGGTTAACCTATTGCAAAAGTAAAATTTGTTTTCTAAATTTTTTCTTAATTTCTGTATTAGACTTGTAACAAAGTTAAGGCCAATTTGATTTTTTTTTTAATCTCCGATATTTATTTTTAGTATTAAATAGTTGGAAAACGCAACTGCTCATGAGATCTCACGGGATAGGTGTCCCAGCACGCCATGCTATTTTTCCACAAGTCACTTGGTGCAAATAATGCCCATCCAGGGGTTAAGTTTTACAACTTTTAAAGAAATACTCAAATTTTTAAAATGAAACATAAAATTTATGAATTTAGTCTTTTTTTGAAATTTTTTTGTTTCGGATCCTTAAATATCCCTGAATACAGATCCCTGTTGATTGGTCGTGTACTCCAGTTGCACAAAATGGAACCTGCTGTGAAAAATATCGAATTTACTAGCGTCATAGCAGTCTGTGTTAGTCTGTGGTACTGTCATTGAGATCCATTGTACTGTAATTGTGCGATGTATAACCGTCATTGCACATTGTACTGTCCTTACGCATTGTATAATTGGCATTGTGCAATGTACTGTACTTGCGCTTTTTGCTGTAATTGCACAATGTATTGTGTTTTACCACTTTGAAAGTGTATATTTTATTGTATATAGTATATTGTACTTTCATTTGTGCAATGTTGTAGGCACGTTTCTGATACTTCTGTGGCTGGACCAAGGTCAATAAAAGGTGATTTTAAATGTCCCGAATTACTTTCAGGATTCCACAGCTGGAGGTCAACCTAGAACAAGAAGGGAGCAGACTGAGATCTGATTTCCAGGTATAACATAACACAATGTTAGTAGAAATCCTATCGTTGTGTTTGACATTGAGAAAACTCTTGATATTTAATTTGTCATCTAATTGACAAAACACTAAAACTTTGTAACAATCTAACACAACTTTTAGAAATGAGGCAATTTTTCAAGGTCTTTTTAAATAAATAGACTTTAAATTGGTAAATTCAAATAATATCAGAGATATATCTTCGTTTTGATTTATTTGGAATGCCGGTCAGCCATTTCACCGTCCTCTACCATTTCATTTCCTCTACCGTTTCATCCCCTCTGCCGTTTCATTCCCTCTACTGTTTCATTCCTTCTACCATTTCATCCCCTCTACCGTTTCATTCCCTCTACCGTTTCACCACCCTCTATACCGTTTCATTCCCCCTACCGTTTTATTCCCTCTACCGTTTCATTCCCTCTACTGTTTCATTCCCTCTACCGTTTCATTCCCTCTACTGTTTCATTCCCTCTACCGTTTCATTCCCTCTACCGTTTCATTCCCTCTACTGTTTCATTTTTTTGTGAAAATCCGCGAATTATTTTTGTTTTGTTTTACGATGTACACAAAGAGAACATTTTCACAATTAATTTAGAAGATGGGCGCGAAGCGCCCTCTAAGGCTAGTATATATAAATTGGTCTATACGGATTGCACAGCTAGTACAACAGAAACTGGACTCCCTTTGTTTACAAACACAAAATTAGAATTTGTATTTACCTTAAATATAGATTAACGTAAATCAAGATTTCAGAAGTGAATTGATTAATTGCGACTATATAGTATTTACATATAAACTACATACAAACATAAAATTTTTTTGATTTTTTATCATGAAAATTTCTAAGTTCTAACTAAAAAAGACTTTTACATGGGTCTTTAGTCTGTTTTTTTCTAGTCTTTACTTTCCAAATGAAATCTTTTTATGCAATTTTTTACAAACCAAATAAAACCATATTGCCCAACCTGTCGTCGTTGCCTTAGTCTGTTCCACTTTAGTATTTATTCACTTTGATCGTGATAGGGTTAAAATTATTATGCTAAATAAAATTTATACTGTGCAAATCTTAATTGTTTATAAATACTAATTATTATTTGATATTTAACTTTTGATTTTTTTGAGTTTACATTTCCTAAACACACTTGAATTAAAATAATTGAAAATAATTGTCTTATTTGTTTAACATAATTGGATAATAAAACCAGAATTGGAAAAGGGTCTATTTTTCTTCAGAATACTAATGCTGTTTGGGGTCCATTAAATACAGTTGGAATTGTAACTGTAAAGTTTTCTAAGTATAGGGCAACTAGTTTTTTGGGAGAGGGGGGAATTGAAAAAAAAATTTTGTCTTGACTATTTAAGCTATGGGTATTTTTGCTTGAATTAATTACAGTATAAGCTTTTAAAACAGATTACTTTTCATAATTGAACATTTTATCCCTACGTTTAAAATTATTTGATTGAATCAAAAAAAGTTTTATAAGATTACTGAAAGTTGTCTCATATAAAATTTAAAGAATTTTAAAACAGTTTTAACGTTATTAAATTTATTATTAGTTCTTAATAGGAACTGCAAGTGTTATTGCAAGTGAGCCTCCACTAAACAGAGAGAGTGAAATGTCTGATTCACAACTGCTCCCCTTAAATCTTTGTCTTATCATCGACGATGAAGGTTTTCTTATTTTTCCTGCAGAAAATTGAGCGCCGAGAATTTGAATTTAAATATTACAGTGAATTAAACTCTATATTATTGTTGATGTAGAACTATCTGAGTGCTGTTGTATCTGGACTTTCGAGAACAAGAGAACATGAAGAAAACAGTATCATAACATCAAGATAGAATAATGAAAAGTATCATAAAATTAAGATTAAATAAACAACAGTCTTGTAACATCAAGATCACTAAGATAGAATGAGAACAGTATCATAGCATCAAGATAGAATGGAGAACAGTATCATAGCATTAAGATAGTATAGAGAACAGTCATAAGATCAAGATAGAATAGAGAAGATTATCATAACATCAAGATAGAATAGAAAACAGTATCATAACATCGAGATAGAATAGAAAACAGTATCATAACATCGAGATAGAATAGAAAACAGTATCAGAACATCAAGATAGAATAGAGAACAGTATCATAACATCAAGATAGAATAGAGAACAGTATCATAACATCGAGATAGAATAGAAAACAGTATCAGAACATCAAGATAGAATAGAGAACAAACATCAAGATAGAATAGAGAACAGTATCATAACATCAAGATAGAATAGAGAACAGTATCATAACATTAAGATAGAACAGGGAACAGTACCCTAACATACAGATAGAACAGGGAACAGTACCCTAACATTAAGATAGAACAGGGAACAGTATCATAACATTAAG